CATGTTATATATTTTAAATTTTATAAAATATCTATTTTTTGGCCAAGGACTATCACTTTCTTGGTGTATTTTTGTTTTATTTATGTCCAAGACCAGGGCTAACTGGAGAAAGCACTTCTCCCAAGAAAGCCAAGTTTTTTTTTTAATTAAAAAAATTTTATTTGAGAGAGAGAAAGAGAGAGAGAGAGAGAGATAATCCTAAGCAGGCTCCTCACACAGTGTAGAGCCTGATGTGGGGCTTGATCCCACAAGCGTGGGATTATGACCTGAGCCAAAATCAAGAGTCAGATGTTTAACTGACTGATCCACCCAGGCACCCTGCAAAGAGTTTTTTTAAAAAATAATTTCACTCGAACTTCAGTAAAGAAATAACCCAGCTAACATGCTGATGCTCAGCGGTCGGCAGCCTTACTCGTTCACTAACTGCTTAGTTCTCTGCCTTCTTCACATTTGTGCTGAGCAAAATGACACCTGTCCTGCTGTCATGGATTGGGTGATCCCTCGCCACGTTCCTTGTGGATTGGGTGGGCAGAACTACCGTGCACGTCAAACTTGTAAACACAAGCTAAATAGATTTTGTGGGGCCAGCAAATATTTTAAATTAATTCTTCTTTGATACAATGTTTGGAATGAAACATGTTTGTCTGTTTTCCCCTTAGGGCTCGATTATCAGTCCTGCCCTACGTCAGAAGATTGTGAGAACAACCCTGTGGATTCTTACTGGAAAATGGCATCTATGCAGGTAAGCGTGGGGAAGGCAGCTGAGAGGCTAAGCAGGTGTAGGCCTGCAAACATGAGACAGTGGGGTTCGGAGACTGGGCCCATCGGGTCATGACTTAACTTCTCTGAGCCTCTCTTCCCATCCATGTTTGGCACAGTCTGATTCACTCTGCTCCGTAGAGGTGTGAGGACGTAGGAGCCCAAATACTTACTGCAGCGCCTGGCACAGGGGACACATTCAGTGAGTGTTGGTATAGATGAGGATATTAACTAGTCACTATTACTACCACCACGCCACAGCTGCCCTGGTGTTTTAAATCAATGTGGTTTTGACTGCTATGTAAAATGGGGTGATCCTTGTTTTATGCGAACCCCTGGGACACCTGAGATCGAGATGTGGGGGTCAGAAATGTCCCCGAGACTGATATTAATGATAGAGGAGGTGATAGGTGACAGGTGAGCAGAGGGTAAACTGGAGACACGGAAATGGTCTTTTGTGGAAGGTCTATACAGCTACCAATTCATGATAGTCTATTAACCGTTGGCTGTATTGACTAGGAGGCCAGTGGGCTTCAGGGTCCCATCACCTACAACCACCCACCCCCTTTCAGGGCTGTCCATGTCCCTTTTTGTCCCATTCTGGATCCCCAGGTGTCCACTGGGTCCATTGTTAATCAGGGTGACTTTTGTTAGACCCTCTTCCACGTTGTGGTTTAGAGCAGGGCAATGGGCCTGCTCCAGGCAAAAGGCACTGTTAATGTCTGCACTCTCCTGCTGCGCCAGTGGGGGCACCCCACTTTTGCTCACTACCCATAGGCTTCGTTTCCAGTGGAGACTCCGCTCAGTGAGCATTGGGCTGCCAGCGCTCACGGAGGCTGTGGGTGCCTCATCGCCTGAATGTGGGGTTGGTTGTCACAGCAACTCAGGGGCAATGTCAACATTCTCGTAAAACAACAACAACAAACCATGTACTCTTTGCCGTGCACCTGCCCCACGTCAAAGAGTGTGCTCCAAACCAATCTCCTCTACCCTCTCCAACTCTGGAATGGGAGTCCAAGAATCATACCCACGTTTTAGGAGCCCTTGGAATGAGCTGGGTCGTGTATGCACAAGGAGAGGAGTTTAGCATAACGATGAGGAGAGGGTCTGAATTGTAGCAGAGAAGTATTCATTCAATAGATGTTAATAATTATTATTTAAAATTTTTTTTAATGTTTATTCAGTTTTGACCGAGAGTGAGCAGGGAGGAGCAGAGAGAAAGACACAAAGTCTGAGGCAGGCTCCAGGCTCTGAGCTGTCAGCACAGAGCCCCATGTGGGACTCCAACCCATGAACCGTGAGATCATGACCTAAGGTGAAGTCAGTCAGACGCTTAACCGATGGAGCCATCCAGGTGCCCAATAATTATTATTTTAAATGATTTAATCTTTACAACAATCCTATGAGGGAGGGATCCTTATGAGGCACAAAGGGATCAGGAAACTTAACCAGGCTTATTACAGAGCTCGTAAGTCGAGGAGTCATGGACTTACATCTGCTGTGTCATATAGCTTCATTGTATCTGCATGCATTTTTTATTACCTTTTTTTCTTATCAATGTAGTAGCTGCTCAGGATTAAAAAATGACACATTAGGGCCGCTTGGATGGCTCAGTCGGTTAATTGTCCGACTCTTGGTTTTGGCTCAGGTCGCGATCTCCCAGCTCATGGGTTCAAGTCCCAAGTTGGGCTCTGTGCTGACAGTGCAGAGCCTGCTTGGGATTCCCTCTCTCTGTCTCTGTCTCTCTGTCTCTCACACTCTCTCTTTCAAAAGTAAACAAATAAGCATGTTGTAAAAAAAGAAGAATATCTGGACGTTCTTTCTAGACTTATTCTTAAAAAGTTATTTTTAAAAATGACAAATTATAGAAAATATAGATAAGAAAAAATTCATCGTGTATAAGTAAAGGTGACCCCTTCAGCATAGTGGTCACCAGACTTTGGCATTTGTGGATTTAACCGTGACCATTAGCATTATTTTGAAGCAACTAAAACGTACACAGCATGAAGTGCACTGTCGCTTTGCTGCTGGCATTAGGTGTCACTTTGTCAGACAATAAGTCCAGCGTGGATCTCATTGCCACCTGCCTTTCCAGCCCCCCACCTCACTAACGGAAACATTTTATCAGGGAAATCGCATGTTCCAGTACGATCCTTTTTCTTTCTTTCTTTCTTTCTTTCTTTCTTTCTTTCTTTCTTTCTTTCTTTCTTTCTTTCAAGATTTTATGTTTAAGTCATCTCTGTGCCCAACGTGGGGCTCGAACACACAACCCCAAGACCAAGAGTTGTATTCTTTACGGACTGAGCCAGGCAGTAGTGTTCTGAACTGGAGATTTGGGAACTTCTCTGGACTTATCCCTTCCTTGGGAATTTTGGGGGGTTGACTAATGTTTCCAGACTTTTGCCCGTTTATTTTGAGCATTGAGGGCACATGCTCAGTCTACGTCATCCTGCATTTCGTTTTAAATGTGAGCGCTTCTTACGCTTTTGCAAATCTCGTGTGGACTTTTAGTAACGGTTGGCTAATATTTCAGACATGTGAGTACTTTGGGTTACTTACCATTCCTTTGTTGTTGCCTATTTTAGGTTGCTTACAGACAACACTGCCACACACACCTCTGTGCACAGTGCTTGTGGTGGTCCCTAGGGTTGTGTAGAGTTGTTTACAAAATATGTCTGGCTCATCTTCCACACACATGGTTTGCATTTCCCTGCCTGGTCAAGTTACTTGGGTGTGACTTGTGGTGGCCAAAGAGATGTGAGAGGGAGTGTGCGTGGTTTCCGGGCGGGCACCTTTAAGAACTGGTCTGTGATCTGCCACCGTCCCCTTCTCCCTTCCCTGACAATCAGCGACTTTACAGACACGGAGTCTTCATCAGCTTGGGTCCCAGAGCGAGGACTTATGGAGCAAAACCCCAGTCGACCTGTGATAAACGTGTAGTGTGAGCATGAAACAACTCTTTCTTGCTTAAAGCCACTGTGATTTTGACGTTGTTTGCAATGGCTGTGTAATTTAGTCTGTTTCAGCTGTTACGATGCTGGAATCACATTGTTTCCTCAGTAGATTCCCAGACACGGAATCACTGAGTCTATGAGGTTTTGACATTTCAGAGCAATTTGCTTTACAAGATACACTAGTTGTATCCCTACCAGCTATATGGAATATCAAAATTGTTTTGAAATACCAAATTTTAGTAGATCCTTGCTAATACTGAGGATCGTTAGTTTTATTTTTTATCTTTTTACTTTTTTGAACGTTAATTTATTTTTGAGAGAGGGAGAGACAGAGCACGAACGGGGGAGGGCAGAGAGAGAGGGAGACACAGAATCTGAAGCAGACTCCAGGCTCCAAGCTGTCAGCACAGAGCCCGACGAGGGCCTTGAACCCATAAACTGCGAGATCATGACCTGAACTGAAGTTGGACACCTAACCGACTGAGCCCCCTGGGCTCCCCGAGGATTGTCAGTTTCAAAAACTTGCTCATTTCATACCTGAAAAATGACATGTGTTAATTTACTCCAAATAGTTGTTTCTTCTTACAGTATTCGAGGGATAGCACTGGGGTGATCCACGTCATGCTGAACGGTTCAGAGCCCAAAGGAGCCTATCCTGTTAAAGGGTAAGAATACCAGCATCAACAAATACAACGAAGAATGCCAAAACGTTCACTTTGTGTTTTCAAATGGAGGCTTAAGAAAATTGTTTTCATTCCCAGTGTAATGCTTGCTTTTGTAAATTCCAGTAAAGCAAAACAATCGAATGACCTGGAGATCAGGGCCATGTCTACACATTTCTGCCATTAATAGCTGATGAATGCATGAATGAAATAGATCACCTAAAAATAAAAGCTAAAAATACCCCCCCAAAACACCCCTCAAAACAAAAGTGATGTGTAAATCAACTAACGAAATGGGAAAAGTATCCTATTGCTTTAAGACTTTAAGAAATGCCTTTCCTGTTTCTCAGTTTTTTTGCAGATTTTGAAATTCCCTACCTCCAGAAGGATAAAATCACACGAATTGAGATCTGGGTTATGCATGAAATCGGGAGACCAAAGGTGTAAGTCATGGTGTTTCTGATGATGGTAATTGTGCAAATATGCTTTTCTTGATTTTCATATGATCAAGTCCATTTTACATTTTCATTTTTGGGGACACAACACTCTTCTCTGTTTCTTTTTAATTAAAAAAAAATTTTTTTTAATGTTTATTTACTTTTGAGAGAAAGAGAGAGAGACAGGTGTGAGTGGGGGAAGGACAGAGAGAGGGAGACACAAAATCCAGAGCAGGCTCCAGTCTCTGAGCTGTCAGCACAGAGCCTGACGTGGGGCTTGAACCCACAGACCACAAGATCATGGACTGAGCTGAAGTCGGATGCTTCACTGACTGAGCCACCCAGGCGCCCCTCTTCTCTGTTTCTAATGTCATGGGTAAAGAAAGACAAAGGCTTGACTTTTTTGGAAATGCCACTAACCAGTCCCGAGTCCAGAGAGAAAACCTCCTTTATTCAGATACTATTCTCAGCTGAGGAAAATTGTCCTTTCTGAGCTACCTGGGTAGCATTGGAGAGTTCCTTATGCATTCGTGTGGGTCAAAGCCAATTTCTCCTCCTGGTTGTTTGAAGGCCCCCACCAGGAGTTCTCACAATGAACCCAAGGAGTATGTAATGAAAACTATTCTCAGAAAAGACACAGTTCTACAACTGGATCTTAGTTCACTGGCCAAGGAAATGGTTAAGGTCCATCTTTTCTGGAAAACCACCTGAGTTTATATAAATGCAAGCCTGAACTCATCCTTCTCGTCAGTGAGGGGCATTGCTGGAAAAACTAAATATAAGAAACATAAACTCAGGGACGTCTGGGTGGCTCACTCGATTAAGCGTCTGGCTCTTGATTTAGGTTCAGGTGGTGATCTCGTGATTAGTGAGTTCGAGCCCCACATCGGCTGTGTGCTGAGTGCAGAGCCTGCTTGGGATTCTCTCTCTTTCCCTCTCTCTTTGCTGCTCCCCTGCTCTCTTTCTTTCTCTCTCTCTCAAAATAAATAAACATCAAAAAACAAAAACAAAAACAAAACATAAACCCAGTTGATTCAGAGACAAACCGATCTGGCAGCTGCAGTGGAATGTCAGAAGCAAGTCGGGGCCTTGTTCTTCAGAGCATTGATGCAAAGAATTGACAACCCCAAGGACTATGTTCTGGGAGAATCTTAGCAACCTGCCCATTTCAGGCCCCTAGGACCCTCTAAGACTCACCATATAATGAGCGATTATTTTTTCCTGTGTCTTAGGCAAGAGATTAGGTTCGCAGATGACTTACTATATAGTTCTACCAGATCTGCATTTCTCTTCCCAGAAGACAAAGTATACTTATGTTGCATAGAAAACAGTGCATGTTATTATTTGTCTTACTTCTGTGGGAAGTTGCCTCTTGTCGGGAAATTTTGCTTCCTTGTTATTTTAACGTTTCTCTCAGAGAAAGCTTGCCCTTCGAACCTGCCTTTAGTGAGATAAGGAAATTGCAAATGATGACCTGGCCTGAAATAATCCTGTCTTTTCTTTTGCTGACAACTTCCTTGTCACACCCTCCTGCCCACACAAAAGCTTTCCACCTTGTGCAACTCCTCAGGGCGCCGTCTGTTTCCTAGAAGGGTCTATTCCTGAATTGTTGAATGAAGCCAATTAGATTTTCAGATTCACTCAGTTGAATGTTTGTTCTTTAACGCTATGGAAGAGCCTTAAAATGCATTCAAAACCGTGGTGCCAGAAAACCTACTTTCAGGAATTTATGCGAAGGAAATAAGTAATTCAAGATGGGTGTGAAAAGGAAGCTTCGACAGGGTTCATTTTAGTGTGACATCAGCCTTGAGCATCAACAAGAGGGGGCTGGTTTTATGAATCATGTCCTGATGATGACGGCGATCATGCTGGAATTAAAGAAGTATATATACACACTTCAACAGACACGGGCCAAGGCACACTACAAACTGCATTGGACAGCAGAAGGCTATTGTTATACTTAAAAAGTCTCTGGGGCGCCTTGGTGGCTCAGTCCGTTAAGCGTCCAACTTCGGCTCAGGTCACGATCTCACAGTCTGTGGGTTCGAGCCCCACATCGGGCTCTATGCTGACAGCTCGGAGCCTGGAGCCTGCTTCGGATTCTGTGTCTCCCCTTCTCTCTGCCCTTCCCATGCTCATGCTGTGTCTCTGTTTCTCAATAGTAAATAAACGTTAAAAAAAAATTAAAAAAAAAAGTCTCATGGGAATGAATGCATTTCAAAGATTGAGAATGGTATACACCAAAATGTTAACCGTAGTTATCTCTAGCGATGTGCGATTGGGGTGCTTTTTTCCCCATGGGTTTATTTGCATTTTTAATAATTTTTGGTTTGTGTGTTCTTGCTTTCATTTAAAACATACTGTATGGGACACAAGTCACCAGCATTCTGGGGACCTGGGGCTCTGCCCTAAGGTGTGTTGCTGGGGGGAGGGCTGCGGAGTGCCCTGTGACCACCACCATGTGCCAGGGCAGGTCCCCCCCCCCCCCCCCCCC